GGAGCCAGTCATAAGCACACTGCCCAGGTATGGGAAACTCTCCACTCTCTCCACAACTGCCCCATCACCGATTGGGAGTTGTGGGGGTGGAGTGTCCGATGGTACAAAATACCCAGGCAGGTGCTTAGTTTTGGTGGGGCTGATGGTAAGGCCCCACCTCTTAGTGGCACGCTCCAGTCTCAGCAGCAGCGTCTCCAACTCCTCCTCTGACTGAGCAGCTATTACCAAGTCATCAGCATACATAACGTGGTTGAGCAATAGGGAGCCATCCCTTGACCGCACCCGGGCATCGATTAGCCTCCCATTATATCTGTACCATATGGAGATTCCCCCGGTACAGCTGTTGAAGGCTTCACGAACTACGTGGTCGAAATAGATGTTAAATAATGTGGGAGCCAGAGGACATCCCTGTCGCACCCCAAGGTGTACAGGGAATGGCTCTGACTCCCGGCCACGTAGTTTTACCCGGGCCCGCTCACCATCATGAAGGTCCTTAATGATCGTGAGCAGAGGGTCAGGTACTCCAAAAGCACGAAGAACGACCCAGAGCCCAGGCCTACTGATGGTATCATAGGCCTTGACCAGGTCAATAAAGCAGAGATGTAGGTCTTGTTGGAATTCCCTACACCTCTGCTGTAGCAGACGGACAGAAAATATGGCATCTGTGCAGGACCGCCCTTTCCTGAAACCGCATTGGGGCTCCGCAAGCCTCTCCTCAGCGTGCCTGGCAAGGCGATGCTGAATAATCCTTGCCAGGACCTTTCCCGGCACACTGATGAGTGAGATGCCCCTGTAGTTGTTACAGTCTGTGCGGTCCCCCTTCTTAAAAAGGGGGACCACCAGGGCATCCTTCCAATCCTGCGGAACCCGTCCAGTGGTCCAGACTGTTGTTATTATGTCATATAGGGCAGTCTGTGCACAAACGCCACCCTCCCTCAGCATTTCGCTTGGGAGATCATCTCTGCCCGCTGCCTTTCCTGGTCTCAGACTCCGGATCGCCTTCAATACTTCCTCAGCAGATGGCACCTCAGCCAGCCACTCACAGGGGGTGACTTCATCCAATATTTGAGGCACCGCAGCCTCAGCAGGGTCATCCTCACTTTGTGCCACGATGTTTTCCTGGCTGAGGGATTTTCCCTCCCCCAGGACCTCACAGAAATGCTCAGCAAATCTGCGAACCTGTTCCTGGGGGTCGGAAATTGGATCACCGTTTTTTCCCCTAATGATGGTAATAGGTGTGGCGCTGCAGGTTACTTTTTTGATGGAGTTAAATAGCGATTTGTGATCACGGGCCACTGAGGCAGACTCCATCTCCTCAGCAACCCGCGACCACCACCCATCCTTGCAGCGCCTCACGGCTCTCCGAACCTCCGAGCGAAGGCTGCGGTAAGCCTCCTCATTCTCTGACGTGGGATTCTGTAGCCGATGACAGTGGGCCTGTCGCTTTTTCTCAACCATCCTGAACAACTCCTCTGTCATCCAGGGTGTCTGGGGAGGTCTGGACCGCGTACCCAAAGCAGCCATTGCAGCTGCATGAGTCACAGTCCTAAACCTCGCCCATTTACCCTCGACATCAGGAGGAGTCGGGGACGATGCCAATCCCAGCCGCAAGCGATGATGAAATTCTCGCTTGCAACTTTCATCAGATAACTGAGACCAGGCCACTTTAGGTTGGAATGGGGTCCTGGGTGTACACCCACCACCGGAGTGGAAGAATGGCAGGCGCATCTTACAGATGACTAGTCGATGGTCAGAGGGCAGATCAGCTCCACGGTAGGTCCTGGTGTCAAGGACATGGGCTCGCATTCGCTGGTCCGTCACTATGTAGTCCAGCAGATGTTCTTGCTTGGACCCGGCATGCATCCATGATGTTGTGTGGATGCGCCGATGCCGGAACAGCGTGTTGGTAATTACAAGCCCATGGGCTGCACAAAAATCTAGCAGCCTCCTACCGTTGTTATTGAGCTGATCTGGCCCATGCCCTCCAATCACTCCAGACCAGGTGCCAGTATCATGACCAACTCGGGCATTGAAGTCACCCAACATGATGACTCTATCCCGAGGGGCCACTTTAGCCAGCACCTGTGACAGGAGGTCATAGAAGGCATCTGACTCATCGGCTTTGCCTGCATCCCTCCACGGATGTTCATCTTCGGTGGGGGCATAAGTAACCACGACCACCATTCCTCGCCTCCGGTTGATGGGAAGGCGAGCCCAAAGTAGCCTGGGGCTTACAGCTTCCCACACCTCACCGCCACGCTCCCACGCCCCCTTCATTCTTTTATTCAAAAGAAGACCCACACCCTGTTGTTTGGCAGTCTGCTGCCCCGAGTAGAGGACTGTCCACCCCTCATGGTGGCAGGAGCCAGAGCCGGTCCACCGGACCTCCTGAATGCCGCATAGATCCAGGCGGGTACCGGTCCAGCTCCCGACAGAGGAGTGGCAGCCTCTCCTCTGCAGTGAGCGTTCGAACATTCCACGTGGCCACCCGTAGTGGCTTTTCGTTGTTTCTGGAGTAGCCCCGAGGGTAGGTATTCAATCTCCTGGCTCCGCCAATTGGGGTTTGGCCAGGAGACGTCATAGACGCCTGGCCCCCCGGGGCCTCCGGCACAAGCTTAGTTGTTACATATTTCACTTTAATTCGTGGTTTTGTGGTAATTAATTGAAGGTGGAGGGGTTACCAGCCCCTCGCACCCGTCCAGAGCCCCCGTTTAGCCCCTGTGGTGGACACATATGCCATGAGGGGAGGAGCCAATCAAAATTGGAACTCCCCCCACAGCACTGTCCACGACAGAGTTGCCCGTCCGGCACCGCGAGGAGGTAGGGGGTTGTTTTTGCCACCGCTCCCCGCACACACACACACAGACACCCACATGTAGCAACACACCACCACATACACGAGGCTTACATCACACGACACATATCACCCACACACATTATTATCGTTACACATATTGTTTGGGTGACTTTACCGAAAGACCCAAAGAATATGAATTCCTGCAGTCACGAAAGATCCTTGCACCTGTTTACCTAGGAAAGCCTCACCGAGTATCATGACTCTCTTTCAGGAGGGTCCTGCCAAGTTTTCACCGATGGCGGCGATGATCGGTTACGGAGCACCCCAATGGAGTCATTCCTGGGTCATTTTTGCAAATGTGCATGGACCGTGACGCCGCCACACAACGGCACTACTCTTGCGCATGATGTCACGGGATCTCTCGCGTCCACTGTGAAGCGGACGGCACGCGGTACTATTGCGGTGTTACACTACCGCGGTATTAACCAGCGTGGCCGCTCGAGTCGGACCGCGAAGCTCCGTGACGAGCTGCGAACGCGCCACCGCTGAGCCACGTCAAGGATCCACATTGACCCCCTTGTACCGCACACACAGCACACACACACAGCACACACACACAGCACACACACACAGCACACACCACACACACAGCACACACAGCACACACACACAGCACACACACAGCACACACACAGCACACACATAACACAAAGACAAAAATCCCCCCATAGCCTGCACGGCCTGTTGGGGCAAGTGTTGTGTTAGCGACCACCTTTGAAAGCCGGCACTGCACACGAGGAGGGGATGTGACCAGCACCAAAGCTGCGGGGTGGGATATGGAAGACAGTGGGAAGGGATCTGTCGCTTTCACTCAGATAATTCGCTGTGTAACAAAAAATAAATTGTTTTTTATTCCTGGGTAGTAAGTGCTATTTTCGAATTGTTTATGCCTCAAAAGTACAGAAAATGGCTGTTATTATTCCCCACAAACTTTGCTTTTGTGACCAGGACACAAAAGCAAGGTTAATAATCCACTCCATTAATAACAGTGTAACAAAAAATGTGTTTTGTTCCTGGGTAGTAAGTGTTATTTCCTAATTGCTTATGTCTCACAAATACAGAAAAGGGCTAGTATTCCCCACAAACTTTGCTTTTGTGACCAGGACAGTGATATTTTGAAATGTACCTATTTCCAACGAGAAAACGTGGTGTGCATTAGTGTCATTCCTTCACGTAAAGTCCTGGTCACAAAAGCAAAGTTTGTGGGGAACAATAATAGACATTTTCTATACTTTTGAGGCATAAGCAATTAGAAAATAACACTTATTACCCAGGACCAAAAATCGTGTTACATCGTGATATAATTGGAACATTTCCTCCATCAGCCAAGTTCTCTGGGGAGGTCTGTACCGCGAACCCAATGCAGCCACAGCAGCTGAATGAGCCACAGTCTTAAACCTCGCCCATTTCCTTTTGGCATCAGAGAGGAGGGGGGGGGGGTTATGATGCTGACTGCAGCTGCAAGCAATAATCAAATTCTCGCTTGCAACTTTGATCAGCTATCCGATACCGGACTATTGTGGGTGTTAATTAAGAGATCCTAAGGTGGACGCCCACCACTGTGGTGGAAGAATGGCAGTCGCATTTTATAAATGACAAGCCGATGGTCAATTTTACAGATCAGGTCCACAAGTAGGTCCTGACGTATGTATGTTGAGCTTCTTTCGCGCCGTACGTAGCCAACCGTGCTAATCGGAGGTGCGCGGGGAAGGGCAACAGGACATGGGCCCGCAATCCTCTGTTCTGTCGCTACATAGTCCAGCAGATGCTCTTGCCGGGACCCGGCGTGCATCGATTTGTTGTGGACGTGCCGATGCCATCACAGCGTGCCATTACAAGCCCACGGGCTGCACGGAAGTCTTGCAGCCTCCTGCCACTCTTCAATGCTTGCATCATGACCCACTCGGGGGCATTAAAGTCACCCGGTGAGATGACTCGATCCCGACGGGCCACTTTAGCCAGCGCCTGGGGCAGAAGGCACTCGCCTCGCCTGTTACCCCCCACTGATGTTCAACTTCGACGGCGGTGGTATGGGAGCCACCACCACCGCCACCGTTCCGCACCTCCTGAGACAACACACGCGCACCGCAGACCCTGCACGTGGCGCACGCTCTGCCGTGGTGGCGGTGCTCGTGGTGAGTACCTGGTTGGTGCGGTCCTCACACTCGCTCACGTTCCTCCACGTCTCGTTGGATCCGTCCATGTGGAGCCACGTCCCATCGGCTGAGCAGAAGCGGTACGCCCGGCCGAACCACACTGTGGGACACACAGACACCGCACTGTGAGACACATAGTAACTGCATTGTGAGACACACATACACCGCACTGAGACACATAGTAACCGCATTGTCAGACACACAGACACCGCACCGTGGGACACACAGACACTGCACTGTGTGACACACAGACACCGCACTGTGAGACACATAGTAACCGCATTGTCAGACACACAGACACCGCACCGTGGGACACACAGACACTGCACTGTGTGACACACAGACACCGCACTGTGACACACAGACACCGCACTGTGTGACACACAGACACCACACTGTGGAACACACAGACACTGCACTGTGTGACACACAGACACCGCACTGAGACACACAGACACCGCACTGAGACACACAGACACCGCACTGTGTGACACACACAGACACCGCACTGTGTGACACACACAGACACCGTACTGTGTGACACACAGACACCGCACTGTGTGACACACAGACACCGCACTGTGTGACACACAGACACCGCACTGTGAGACACACAGACACCGCACTGTGACACACAGACATCACATTGTGGGACACACAGACACCGCACTGTGTGACACACAGACACCGCACTGAGACACACAGACACCGCACTGAGACACACAGACACCGCACTGAGACACACAGACACCGCACTGTGTGACACACAGACACCGCACTGTGAGACACACAGACACCACACTGTGACACACAGACACCACACTGTGAGACACAGACACCGCACTGTGTGACACACAGACACCGCACTGTGAGACACACAGACACCGCACTGAGACACACAGACACCACACTGTGAGACACACAGACACCGCACTGAGACACACAGACACCACACTGTGGGACACACTGACACTGCACTGAGACACACAGACACCGCACTGAGACACACAGACACCGCACTGTGTGACACACAGACACCGCACTGAGACACACAGACACCGCACTGTGACACACAGACACCACACTGTGTGACACACAGACACCATACTGTGTGACACACAGACACCACACTGTGAGACACACAGACACCGCACTGTGACACACAGTCACCACACTGTGTGACACACAGACACCACACTGTGAGACACACAGACACCGCACTGAGACACACAGACACCGCACTGTGTGGGTGGTGCAGGGTGCAGTGTGTGGGTAGTGCAGGGTGCAGTGTGTGGGTAGTGCAGGGTGCAGTGTGTGGGTAGTGCAGGGTGCAGTGTGTGGGTAGTGCAGGGTGCAGTGTGTGGGTGGTGCAGGGTGCAGTGTGTGGGCAGTGCAGGGTGCACTGTGTGGGTAGTGCAGGGTGCAATGTGTGGGTGGTGCAGGGTGCAGTGTGTGGGTAGTGCAGGGTGCACTGTGTGGGTAGTGCAGTGTGTGGGTAGTGCAGGGTGCAGTGTGTGGGTAGTGCAGGGTGCAGTGTGTGGGTAGTGCAGGGTGCACTGTGTGGGTAGTGCAGGGTGCACTGTGTGGGTAGTGCAGGGTGTGGGTGGTGCAGGGTGCAGTGTGTGGGTAGTGCAGGGTGCAGAGTGTGGGTGGTGCAGGGTGCAGTGTGTGGGTAGTGCAGGGTGCAGTGTGTGGGTAGTGCAGGGTGCACTGTGTGGAATGCAGGGCGGTATATCCCGGTTTAACAGCAGCTGCTATCGATCGCAGCCTTCAAGAACCCTTGAGGAAACACACTGCTCTGCTGCAGATTATGTTGCTGATAATGCCGCTGATAATTATCAAGGTAATCCTGCTGATTATGCTGTTGCTGCTACTGATGCGAATGATACTTCTGCTGCTGCCGATGATTACGATGATCTTGCTGATGAGTATAACATCGCCTCCAATTATGCTTCATTTTAATGTCTTTTTAAAGAAGAACTCGTCCCCACTGAAGAGGGCATCGCAATTCTTTACGGTATAAATTAAACGAATGTAGTCCTACCTAAATATCATCAAAACACACGAATACAAATATCAAAATGAGAGGACACACTCAAGGAAAAGCTAAAAGGAAAACAAAAATTGAGTCTTGCAGAGTTCTCCTGAGCTGTTTCTGTGCTCGGAACCAATCTTAGGGCCCGGTGGAAGGGTTCCACATCTTGGACGCCACACTCGAAAAGGCCTCTACGACCACTTACAGACCCAGCCTAGAATGAACACTTCTAGGTTGAGCTAGCAGAGCCTGGCCTGAGAGGCGCAAGGCATGTGTCTACCCGACGTCTGGGGGACCAGACGGGACTACGGGTACTGAGCTTTGTAAGTCCTTACAGCTAAATTAATTGTACGTGATGGCAGACTGGTAGCCAGTGCTGATCGCGGGAGGATTGGTTTTCTACGCGTTCGAAATGGCTAGCGACGTCGAAAGCGTGCGGGCAGCCGCATTCTGCACCGGCTGCAATTTCCGAACCGATCCACGAGGCCGCACGGCACACAAAAGCATTTCTGCAATCCAGGAGCGTTGACACAGAGGCGTGAAGCGGTGTTTTGAGATCGCCAGCGGATAAGAGGGGGCTCAGCCCTAGGAGCACTCTTAGGTGATAAATAAACAGCTACGATCGAACGGCACACCTAGCTTGTGCACCACCCCTTACAGGAAGAGGGCGTCCTCCATTAATTCACGGAGGCTCAAGCTCCCCCTGCCCCATCCTCATTCTCTGACCCTACAATCATCAGCTCCGTCTTGTCAGGATTCAGCCGTAGCCAGTTGTCATGCATCCGTGCAGCGACCTCTGCCAGGCAGTCTGTTGCGCAGGCGAGATCTGCATCTGGGTCACCTGAGAAGGAGACACATATCTGAGCGTTTCATCGGCGTGCTGGTGGCACTTTAACCCGTGCCTCCGGATGACAGCTCCCAGCGGCCTAACATAGACATTGAATAAAAGGGGAGATAAGACTGAGGGATACCCTAAGGGGAGGGTCCGGAAAGGGACACGTGGGGACCCAAAGCCATTTGCTGGGTCCCTGCCCTGCAGAAAAGATCCAATCCACTGCGAGGCGGTACCTCCGATTCCTGCCAGGTCCCGTAGGAGCTGAAATAAACCCCCACGATCGATTGTATCAAAGGCCACTGACAGGTCCCACATAGCCAGGGCTGTATCCCTGGCCCATCGCCGTGAGGACATCGTCTGTCACGCAAACCAAGGCGGACTCAGTTCCACGATGGGTCCTGAAGCCTGTCTATAATCTTCCCTACAAAGGGAAGATTGTAGATCGGGCGATAGTTAGCGAGGATATCAACATCCAGTCCCGTTTAATTTAGGAGTGGTCGCACTAAACCACTTTTCAGCGGTCACAGGGAGACTCCTTCTGAAATGGAAGAATTGACCAATTCGGTCACCATTGGAACCACCGGCTCAAAGGCCTCTTAAGAAGCCAAGATGGACAAGGATCTAAATCACACGTGGTCCATTTCATCCGCGCAGTAGTCTGGATGAGGTTTGCAGGCAGGACCAGTAAAAAAAATCCTCAAAGACGAGAGGAGCCCTTGGGTCCAAGCTAGGATCAGTACTAATTGCTGGGCAGATACCTTCTGTAATGCGATCGATCCTATTAGCAAAGAATTTATGGAAATCGTTGCAGCGCTCTTCAGAAGGAGCAACCTTTATGCACGCTCAGTCTGGGTGAATCAAACCGTTGACCATCCTGCTCAACAGGGCGGTTCCTTGCAGAGTCAATCCTCGTGGCAACGGACTTTTTCTTCGCCATAAAGATAGCCCCCCGTGTGTGTCAGCCCGTTGACAGGCTCAGCTCGATCATCATCGAGCTGAGATCTGCACTAGCGTCGTTCCATTTTCCTAAGTTGTACTTTGAGGCCCCTGAGGTCTCTGGAATACCGGGGGGGGGGCGGGGGGGGGGGGGTGGTGCTCGTGGTAACTTGAGCATGAAGACGGCGGTGAGGAGCAAGGTCATTTAAAGCAGATCGGAGCACTGAATCGTACTCACCAACCCTCCCACTGATGGTACTACTATCACAGTAAGAGGAAATATGGGCCGACAAGGCGTCGTGAAATCCAGAAGGGGTCATGTGTCTTTTGGGCCAAACCCAACCTCCCTGAAGTCCCCCAGACTGTCAGAGAATGGTGGGGAGACCCTTGATCTCAGCATTAATCACCATGTGTTCAGTCCACAGTGTGAACAAAATTTGAATGGCCCCAACTGAGACCCCCTAGGCGAATACATTGTCGATAATGTGGCCGTGATCATGGGTTGGGCCCTGAATGAACTGAGTAACTCCCATAGAATCCATGGTATTCGAAAGGTCTGTAGCCAAGCTATCAGACGCGTCGTCCATGTGTTGAAATCTCCCGGCACAATTGTGCGAGGGAATTCCAAGAACAAGGGCAAAATCACATCAGACAGCTGAGACAGGTGGTCTATAATCAAGTGGTGAAATACAGGCTCTGATTCTCATGCAGGGCACAACGCACGATCCTGTATTCAAACGATCCAACTTTGGGACCAGGACACAGCACAGATGAGACCAGTCTGAAAGATCAACACCACCTTGTCACCTCTCTTTTTACCTGGTTTAGGAATATGCGATATTGAATATCCATCTGAGACTAAATCAACCGGAGGTTGGTCGACTCCAGGTCGATGCCAGCTTTTATTAATAAAAGCTCGGTGGGCACAGCCCATAGCAATCGTGTCACCTACTAAAGGGGCGCATTGCACGACCGACCTGGAGTTCATAACCATAAACTTCAGTGCAGTGCTCCTTCTTAACACTGACGCCTCTATTTTGCAGCTCAGTGGAAAGTTGGTGAGGTATATTTATTATAACCCGAGGCGTATGGGGAATGGCATCTGGGAATCTGGATCTGAGGGTCCAATGCGGACGTGAATCCAGCGAGATCTTATGAGTAGATGATGAATTGCAACCATCAATCCTCACTGGCTCCCAGATTTCAACCGCCCTACACGCCTCCTTCGTCCACCAGTCCACCCGAAAATCGTCAGGGGAAAGTGAACTGAGTAGCCCATAAGTCACGAGAGAGG